CAGCAGCGCTCCCGCCGCGGGTTCGGATCCTATATAGGGATGACCGGTGTGCTCACAGCGCTCACTGGCTGAGCGCGGTGCGGCCGGTCTCAAAAAAAAAAAAAGGACCAAAAAAAAAAGAAAACTGAGGTTTAAGTTCAGGAAAAGATCATTCTTTGCAATTGAAATAAATATAACAAAAATAGGGATGGTGAGCTTGCTGAAGAAGACAGACACTGCCAATTGCACACCCAATATACATTTTCCCTTTCTTCCTTACGAATAGCACCCTGATTTTGTTCAGAGAGGCAAAGTGCCTGATTAAAAACACTAAATTTCTGGGGCTGGCCCGTGGCTCACTTGGGAGAGTGTGGTGCTGATAACACCAAGGCCACAGGTTTGGATCCTATATAGGGATGGCCAGTTAGCTCACTTGGAAGAGCATGGTGCTGACAACACCAAGTCAAGGGTTAAGATCCCCTTATCAGTCATTTTTTTATTAAAAAAAAAAGAACCACACAATTTCCCAGGCTTGCCTATAGCTAGAGGTAACCATGTGATAAAGTTCTAGCCAATGAGACACAAGTAGAAGTCTACTAAAGAGGCCTCTGGAAAAAATATTTTCCTCATAAGAAAAAAGAGGTAGGAGTGTAGTCAGACTCAACTGGCACCAGCCTTTTATACTCTGCCCTCCAACCTGCCCCTTCCTCTTGCCTAAAGGTGTGGAAGCAGCAGTATCACAATTATAAAGCGAGAGCCACATGCAAATGATGACTGAGCAGGAAAACAGCAAAACCTGGACTGCCCAGGTCTGGACTTCTTGTTATGTGAGAAAAGTTAAACTCCTTTGGTTAAGCCATTTGTAGTTCGGTTGCTGAAGGCACTCCCTAAAAAAACAGACCCTACTCCACCCTAAAAGGACCTGGGCTGCTAAGGATATTTGGGATCTGGCCTATAAAACCAGAGTGCAATATGACCCACGATACAACCAAAGAACAACGCCACAACGGTGAACTTTTTCCAGGAAACTAAAGGGACACTAACAAAAGGTGTGCATGGAAGCAAAACAAAAAGACCACAAAGAATGAGCATGTTTGTCTAGCACTGTCCAGAGGACAGGGTGTTCTGACCAAATAACCTCAGTATCTCTCAGTATAAATTAATAAACTGCCAAATCGTTTATCAGCCAGTTTCTTGTGGGTTTGATACTCCAATGGTATGTTCTTTAGGCACCAACTTTCACTATAATCACTCATATCATTGTCTACTTTCTCCTCAAGACTGTGAGCTCTGTGCAAGCAGGAACCAAGTCTATCCCATTCACTACTCAGAATGCAGCCCTAAGTATAGTGCCTAGTAAAAAGTTAAACATGCGGTGAATAAAAGATTCACTGAATAAATAAATGACAAACAAGTTCCCCAGTGACTAACTCTGATGAACTGATAAAATCCAAGGAGATGGGAGAGGTGTGAAAAACTCAAAAAGCTAGACTAGCCCAACCACTGTGGTGTCCACCAAAGACAAGCCACATTATGAACCAACCAAAACAGGCTGTTTCTCTCTCTTGTCTCTTTTGGTACGCAGCACACCTGACACTTTTTTTTTCATACCCAGAGCCATTCACTCACTCTACCTTGTCTTTGTCCATGACAATACTGGCCACAGGTCCAAATGCCTGGAAGTACTGAAAGAGCTGAGCAGAATCCATATCTCTGGGAAAGCCACTGACAAACACACTTCGAAGTCCCTGGGCCTTTCTGGCAGCACGTAACTCTACCAGGCGCCGGTGTTTCCGGCCTCCCAAGTGGGCATTGAGGCTGGGTCCTGCAAAAATAAGTGTGAGACAAAAACATCCACATCACTCTTCAGTGTATCTGCCCCCTGCCTTTGCTCTCTGAATATCTAAATCCTCCTGATCCTTCCAAGCCACAAAGTGTAACCTTTGAATAAACAAAGTCCTGGCTCCTTTCACCTTCCTTTCTTGTCTATTTGTCTATACAGTGCGTTCTGTAAATGGTTCCCAGGAGAACTAGTTACACTATAAGTACTTCTTAAACCATCTATATGCTCCACATAGAGCAACACCTGCAAATTGTAAAGAAATTAACAGGTAACTTATCCAGGTCATATGTAGAAAAACTAAATAAATCAGGACCCTGGACTATTCCTCATGGATCATTTCTGGGTATGGAATAGTGACTGCAAGGGCAGGATCTGAAATCACACTGCCCAAGTTCAAATCCCAGCTCTGTCAAGCTGTGTGAGATCTTGGTCAAGTTACTTAACCTCTCTGTACATCAGTTTCCTCAGATATAAAATGGGGGGCAGGCCCGTGGCTCACTCGGGAGAGTGCGGTGCTGATAACACCAAGGCCACGGGTTCGGATCCCATATAGGGCCGGCCTGTGGCTCACTTGGGAGAGCGTGGTGCTGACAACACCAAGTCAAGGGTTAAGATCCCCTTACCGGTCATCTTTAAAAAAAAAAAAAGATATAAAATGGAGATAAGAGTACCTACCACATAGGTATTATTCACATATAGCACTTGGCAGAATATTATACATGCTAAATGTGGAAAAATTAGCTGCCATTATTATTTTTATTGTGAGTCAGCTGCTTGATGTCAGTATATGTAGGGCCAAAGAAGACTCCTAGGTTTCTGGCTTGCCCTACTGGACAAATAGCTATAGTGCCATTCACAGAGAAAAGAATGAAAGAAGACTCTGTTTAGGGAACATCATGATTCCAGACTTCTCAAGCCCCTTGCACTGTCATACAAGGACCTTGTCTACTTTTCCAAACGCACCCCTGCCTCTTCCTCACTGGTACTTTATGCTCCAAACATTCGTGCCACTTCGTTTCACCCGTCCCCACCCTTGGACAGGTATTCCATTGGCTTCCCTGACTTAATTACTGCCTTCTCTGTGACTCCACAGCTCTCCAACTGTATCTATACAGCACTAAAACTGTCTCAATCTCTAAATGGCGAGCTCCTTCATCTCTGAACCCCCCACCCTACAGCGCAGCAGAGAGCCAGGCACAGAGCAGAGGTCCAATGATGATGATTAAAGAGGAAGTAAAATAATGAAACTTTCGTCGTGGACGTTTCGTATACTAGGAGGTGAGCGACCCTACCAACCCACTTCACAGGAACTATGATCCTAACTTTCGCTAGGACCAAGACAAGCTCGCAATCACCCCCCTCACTAGCCACCGCTTACGGTTGGCTGTAGTAACGTGGCAGAGGCAGCAGCGGAAACCCCCACGCGGCAGCGATTCGACATCCGAATCCACCGCTGCCATCGCGACTCTCCGGTACCGACCAAATGCAGCCACTTCTGCCACCACCGGAACTCACTTCTTCAAATCCCAATGCGCTCGGAAGCAACTTCCGCCAATCCGACCGGAAATGACGTCACGTCGGCCAATCGCGCAGGCACACTCCTCGGGAAACCAGGCTCCTTCGACTCGGCGTTCCGTCTCTAGACTGTCAAGTCCCCGCCCCTTTTAGGAGGCCGCCCATCTAGAGGCTTATCTGCATGCGCTAAGCCGATTGGCGGGCTCCGAGATGTTCAGGCGTTGATTGGCTCAGAGAATCGTGAATATTCATGAGCAGCCACAAAGGCCGGCGCCGGACGGCGTCTCCAGCCCGCTCCTTGACAGCGGGTTCCTTCCTTTCAGGTGGTCGCGGGCCGGCTGTGTGCTCCTTCACCGGGAAGCAGAGACCCGCGCGGCTGCACCCTTAACCCCGTAATTACCCGGCGAATGAAGGCGGAGAAGGAGCAGCTCACAATTCTTTGACCCACGGAGCCCAGGGCTGTGCCTGGGCTCCCAAGCTCCCCAGGGCCGTTACTCTCTCCCTCTGTCCCCGGTCCTCCCACAAAACAGGTGTTCCGCCACCGCTGCTTAGCCCCGATTGGGGGCTCTGCCCCTTCCAGTACCTTCCGGGCTCCACGAGGCCGCAAACAGATCGCTGCGGGCCCGATGGGCCAGTCTCACCCCCACCGCAGTGGTGGGCTGCGTGGAGTGTCCTCACGAGGCACCAGAGCCACCGGCCTCCTTCAAGGCAGTGCGACGGAACCTACCGTGGTGGCAGGAAGACTCTGGAGGGGGAAAGTGCTGCTGACCCCCAGACTGGTACAGTGGTTTCTCCTGACTCCGCCGTGTGCAGGCACTCGTCAGGGAGAGAGTAAGGGCGTTGGGAGGCTGAGAGACAGGGTCCATAATGGGATAGAGGGTCCTACCACATCGGTTAAGCAGCTCGTGCTGTGGTTATCAGCCCACAGCTCTGAACTGTGCGAAGAGCAGTGGACCTACGGCGAACCTACCAAGACCTTGAGCAAATCACAGCTGCTGAGGCTGTTCCTCACCTCTAATGAGGTGCCCGAGGGACATACAGCAGGCTGAACTTCTTGCTCTCTCCTAAGGTATTTCTCCTATTGGACCCAGCTCAGGCATCTAATCTGTCTCCCAAACCTTAAAAAGGCAAGAAACAGCACTGCAATGGATCCCATTATCAAGGCAGTTAGTTGCTGAGGCTGGCTTTGAGGATCCTGAAGCAGCAGTCTGTATAAATACACCATAGAGCCAGGTTTCAAGATCCTGCTGTTCTCCCACTCCCACCAAGGTGGGCTACATCTTACCCTAGCTGCTAGCAACTTCCAGAATCCCTAAGTAAACGGGAGAGGAGAATAAGAGTTGGGAATTAGAGGAAGAAGCACTCTCATGACCACCTACTATGGAGGCCACCAGTAGTCTAGGGAACCAGCTCATCCCAACTGCTTTGAATGAATCTGGGTCTGGAAGGTGCTTGAGCCAAAGCATCACTGGGAGTTGGGGGGCATTTGGGTCCCACAAGGCTAGCTGGAGCAGGCCGCCTCAGTCCACGCAAAGCTGTTCCCAGGGCAAGCACTATCTGTACCTCCTTCATTGTCCTTTGTCCTTTATTTTCCCTCTCAAAGACAGCCCCAACACACACACAAACACGCACACCCATGGCAGAGAACAGCTGAGCCAGAAGCTGAAGAAAACAGCTTTTTATTTGTTACTATAAGAACCAATTACAGAATCCAAGGTTAAAAAAATGGACAAAAGATCTTTATTTCTGAGAACTGGCGTACAAAAGGCAGAGGGGGGAAGGGGAGGGAAGGAAAGAGCGAGCATGGGCTGGGGTAGATGCCAGCTTAGGGGCCTCAAACTTCAATTAGGAAAGTCCGGACGCCGGACAGGAAGAAAAACCCCCAATTAGGAAAAAAAAAAAAAAGATAGACATGGCAGTGCACGCCCCCCTCCCCCAACCAGGTACCATCACCTGATAGATCTGTTTACTCTTCCCCTCCCCATCCCCTTTCACAAAGGGAGGCAAAATTTTTAAAAAATTAAAAAACCCTCCCCCCAAACTGCCCAAGACAACTGTGGGTCCTACCCCCCAAAACAGGCTAGGTTCCCACATGGGCTAAGTTCCTGCAGTCCGCCCTCCATCACCAAGAATGGAGAAGCATGGGAAGGAGACAAGTGTCAGAGGCGGTAACACCAGAGGGCGCCCAACCCCTCCAGGGACACACATGCACCTGCTCCCTCCCTCATTCACTCCTCACTCCCTTCCATACTAAAAGATCCATCCCTTCCCCGCAGATGCTCAGTCCTCCAGGACAATGGGCTCATTGGTGCTGGCAGGATGTGAGGGTGCAGGTAGAGAGACTGGGGGCCGCACTGCAATCAATGCTGGCTTCACCTTCAGGGGCAAATTGGGCCGGCGGGCAGCTCGCCGCATTTCCAGGTGGGTCAGAGCCTTCCGTAGGGCCCTGGCCAGAAAGAACAAGAGGGGAATAGAAAAGGCTTAGAGAACACTAAGACCCCCAGGTGAAACCCCACATTGCTGCAAACAATGCAGTTCTGCCCTCTGGCCCATTCTTTCCTGGCATCCCCACCCTGCACCCAGTCTTCCTGGAGCTGGCCTTACTCAGATACTCCTGTTTCCCCTACCTATCAACCTATTTCCCGTACCTGTCAACCTAGACTGTCAACCTCTCCATCCCTCCATGGTAGACTCCCTACCTGGTATCTTTTGTGGCCACAAACACCACAGGATTAGGGGCATCAGCTGGGTTTAGTTTCTGACGCTTGGCTGCTGGCTGTGAGCTTGAGCGAATCCCTGAGGCCAGAGCCCTTCCATTGGCAGAGAAGGGGACCCCTACCCCTGCCATCTGGAAAAGGGTGGGGCAGTACAATGAGGGAAGGGACCCTCTCAGACTCCTATCAGAAACAAAAGCCCACCCAGCTGAGCCTGAGCCACCCTGGTCTGCCAACTCACAGTCTCATAAGCCCGTTTCACCATAATGCCTCCCAGTCCCCGGTTCTGGGTCAGTTGATTTCTGTTGATTGGTGTCTTGGTGCCCCGAGGTGCTTTTGGTTTCAGGGGTGCCTGGGCCACTGCCAGGGGAAAAAAATAAAAGAAAACGTAGATAACTTTCACATCTTGTCTTCTCTTTATGCAGTTTTCCTTTCTCACCTCTACCTCTTTTCCCTGGGCCAGCAGTTTACTTGGGCATCCCCAGAAGTAGTGATGGGGGAGGGGTCTGGCAAGCTATTAATAGTATTTCAAAAATCACACAAGTATGATCTTATCAAATCAGTGTGGTAATACTGGATAGCTTATGAAAAAACATTCTTAACCACAAAAGTACAGTTTATTAGACTAAATCTCTTAGGACTCAATGGGAAAGAAAAAAGCAGGGAGAGAAGGTTCTTGATAGTAAAAGGACTGGGAGCCTGACACCACCCTAAATGCTTCCCCATCCTATACCCACCCTAGAACCACAGTCTGATTCCCCGTCCCATACCCAGATCTTTGACGATAGTTGCCAGGGGTAGCCGCACCAGAGGGTGAATCTTCAATGGAGTCTTGGCAGCCTTAGGAAGTCGAATGGAGCCTGGAGAACAAAGAATAGATGAAAGCTTCTGAAGAGGTTTCATTATTCAGGCCTCTTCTGGGGCCAGGAGCCATGTCTAATTTCCTAAAAAAACTTCTGTGGCCCACTATCCCTACTGTCATTAAACACCTAGAGAAACACTGATCTCTGGCCAGAGCAACCCTGAACCCACCACTAGTCCCACCACTCCTGCCCTTACACTCTGCCTTGATGGCATTGGCATTAATAGGGGCATAGGGTCGTCGGGCAGCCCTCCTCGGTTGTAACAGGTCCCTGCACATGCGCCTGGCAAGACGGGTCAGCTTTGTGGTCTGGAGCAGGAAAGTCTGCCTGTTCTTAGCCAGCAGCTTGGCCCGGTTGGCGCTGGTCGTATAGGGGGAGAGACTTTGGGCTTCAGGTCTGGACAAATGACCCCTCGAGTGTGGCTCCTGGAGGAAGGGCATAGGAAAAAGGGAGAATACATATCAGCACTCAGGCTCCCTTCTTTCTTCCTTCCCTGCACAGGGCAATTATTCCTGCCTGATCTCTTTACTAATGCCCTGACCTACCTGGCTTCCCAGACACTATCAAGCACCCCCTGCCCATCAAACCATTACCATTTAAGGAGTTTGCCTAAAGCTGACATCAATATGCTCACTGCTCTCCCCTGCCTGTCCCTCCATTGATCCTTACTGTGGTGCCCCGAGAAGCCCCCTCAAGTTGGGTTGGGGTCTTCAGTCCCCCATACTTCTTCCAGTAGATCCAACAGGAAGCACACAGGCGGCACTGCATGTTGGGTGGGCCCCAGGCATACCACTGGGCAGACTGTGTGGCTGTAGGAGCATGGAGAAGAGGGGGAGGCCAGAAAAGAAAGATGCTACCTGAGCCCCTCAGGTTCTTGGGCCAGAGCAGGGTTCCCACTCACCCCCAGCATCCCTGTCCCTCACTAGAACTCACTGTGGCAGCTCTCGCAAGTCAGGCCCTTTTGAAATCCAGCCCCATTCATGCCAGGTTTTGAACCCACAGAAATGATCTGGTTAGGGTTTGGCTTAGTGCTAATAGAGGAGGCAGAAAGGAGAAAGAAAAATTGGTCAAGAAAAAGAATCCACTTCCAACCCGTCTCTATAATTTGGGCCTCCTGCCCACCCCCAATCACTGAGAAAGGCACAGTTTGGGAGAAGAGAAGGAAACTATGCCAGTCTTCCCTACCCACCACACTTACTAGGTGGGGATGTAGACCTGTTTCAGTTTGCTGTCTGCTTCAGCAGCTTTCAATCTCTTCTGCAGGAAGGAAAAGACAGAAAGAGAAGGATCTGAGTTTCTCTGCAGGGAGAATGTCATCAATTTCAAAGGCAGAAGTGAGTAGGCAGCCTCCGGTCCAGCCTCCCCAGCCCAGATAATACCTGCTGAATATATCGATCTGTGGTTTTCCACATGTAGTAAAACTGGACTATGCTGGCAAGTGACTTCCAGGGTAGCTAAGGAGGACAAAGGGAAAAAGGATGAGTATGCACCTGGCCCCAGGTCCTGATTCCCTCCAGTCATCTCTCCCACCTCTCCCCTCAGCCCCATCCACTTACAAAATCCTGACGAATATCATTGAAATCTTTCCCATACTTCTCTAGGGCCTCCTCAAATAGCATGGCCTCCGAGGCAGACCATTCCTCCATCTCATCCCGACACAGCACTGGGCCCCCCTGGGGCACCAGTGTCGACATGGCCTTAGCCAGGTCATAGCCATTCCTTTGCAACGTGTCCATTGCGTGGAACTACAGGGAAGATGGAGAACAATGCTGAGGACCTGCAACCCTCAGCACTACTCCTCTGCTGCTCAAAAGAGTGTTTAAAAATACTCGTACTCCCTCAGAGACACCCTCCTCTCCTGTCCAGACTCTGCAGGTTCCCAAAAAGCCCAGTCTGCCCACCTACCCACCAACTTCTGCTCACCAGGGTGATGTCTCGGGAGGCGGCAGCTGCACTCATGTGCAGGCTTGGCTGCCGAATGGAGCTGCTGCAATCTAGGGCTCTTGCAAAGGTCCCCACAGCTCTAAGGGAGAGATGATAAATCAAGAGGGAAAGAATAAAGCCCAAGTGGGCTGAGAAACTAAGCCAAAGGAGAAAGAAGAAAAACATACATGCCAAAGAAAACAAGAGAACAGGACTCAGAACTACATCCACACCTCCCCCAGCCCATCTTCCCCATCCACCCACCCCTCACCGGGCCACCACGAGAAACTGATCAATCTGCCGGTCTGTGAGAGGGTTGTCTGGGTCCCAGACCTTCATCTCCATCTTCTGTTGATTCCGATTATCAGATTCTCCTGAAGAATGGAGCAATGGCATCATCAGGGAGAGGAAAGGGAAAAATAACTGGTGTCTTAGTCACTCACAGTAGCACCTCCTTTTTCCTCTTCTGCTCAGATTTTATCAGCCACGTCAACCCTCAGACTTCTCTTCCCAACTGTGCCCATTTGCCCCTTTCAAGTTCCTAAGCTCCCAGGAATCACAGCAAAGAGCCTTGCACAATATGCACTGCACACCCCCAGGGAATGAATTCACAGAGGCTATGACGTTAAAGTTCCCCTTGGAGTTAGACAACCCAGTAGCCATAGGGTCTGTCCTGTTGCTTACCCTCTGCCAGGCGATCTGGAATCTCAGCTTGATATTTGCAACCAACTCTGATCTCTCCCTGATCAGCCAGAAGTGTCTTCTGCACAGGGTCAAACACCAGTGAGTAAAAAAAGCAGTCCTGGAAATGAGGAGAGAGAAGGTAAGCAGGGCAGTAATCCACGTAGTCAGGGACAGTGGGGTATATCCAGAGTTCCCAAGACAAGCAGTCTGTCAATCCCATACTCATCACTGTCCTACTCTCCTCTCGCCTTTTGGGGACAGTACCCACTTCCCTCCCTCTTCTTCCAACACCTCTTCTCACCTCCTTTTCCAGGTACTGGCTCAGGATATCTGTCTCATTCAAGAGGGTCACGCTACATTTCCCCCTACAGGAGACAGGTCAGAAAACCCTGGGTGAGCCCCTCATTCCTTCTCCACAGCATCTCCAACACACCACCCCCTCCTTTCCATCTTTTAAGTAAGTGCACATAGGCCACACTGGCCTCAATTGTCCTATACCGTATGTGGGTAGCTGGTAAAGATTCAAATTGCCGAGAAAGAAAAAGCTCCCGGTGCTTCAGTTGATGTCGCTGCTGCTCTGATACTCCTGGCTGCTTTGATTCTTCCTCAAACTCCCCTGGGAGATTAAAGAGTAAGAAACCAAATAAGAAACTAACCTAAACAGAAGGCACCTTAGAAACTCTAACCTCGGGAAAACATTTCTATCTCAGCTGTTTTTCTCACATTTTCCAGGCATCTGCCTTCCACACCCTTACCCTACCACTTCCCCTCTGAGCCCTATGCCCCATTATAGATGCTCCCAACTCTCCATCACCAATGCTTTTAGGAAAGAGCTGCTGAGAGTACAAAGAATGCCATAGAAATACATCCCAAACCCAGCCACCAATGCTCAGACACCACTCACAAAGCACAAATACTGCCCACAGCAGGCCCAGCAAGAACAGCACACTTGTCTCTTTCTTGCTAAAACAGCCTGAAGTCCAGGAACCCAATAAGATGAAAAATATCATGGAAGGTTGTATTTACCAGTTACTCTTTTCAGATTTCAGGAGACTCTTTGCTCTAACACATCACATGCAACCCTAATTATCCCTCACTTTCTACTTGGCTAATAATAGTTTGTGGGGCTTTCAAGGACAGCACCTCTCAAGCCAGTTGCCAACACCTTCCTCCCCAAGGAGCTACAGCTTGCCCAGAAGCCTTGGTGGAAAGGGTTAACTTGGCTGGGCGCCAACCAAAGTGGGAGGAGGCAGAAGAGGCTCAGGCCCAGGCTCATTGGTGCATTGTTTCCAACCTCAGGGAGAAAAGGGGGGGGGGGGGGGGGGG